GATCCCTTCCACCCTGGCTGCGGCATCTCAGAGAGGTTTTGTTCCCAAGCCCAAACAAGCTGGAATCGTTCCCAAGCATTTGGAAACCTTGAGCTGAGCAGTAAGCACTCGGCATTATGGAAATCACCTGGTGGAGGCCGCTGTAACTTCAGTTTTACGTTATGACTTCTCTTGAAACCCTCTGATTTTGGACTACATTTTTCTTTTCAGCACAAGTTCTCCCATTGGTCTCCAGCCAGAGGTGAGCTTTTGTAAGATGAAAAAATATAAATCAGTCACTTAATTTCGGCTAAAAATAGAGGGGATGGGAAAACCCCGCTGATAAGAGGTTTTTGAAGCAGTCACAGGTTACCAAGGGAGGGGACAAACAGCCACCCCATGTTCACATGCAAATCAGGCCCTCAAAGAACCGAGCCTTTACAGATCGATGGGGAAAGTAAGGGGAAAAGAAAGCAAATGCCATTAACACAGTTAAATATTTTAGTACGTGCTTCAAAGCACATCCAGCAATCACTCTGCACTTCAGCAGAAGCTGGTCCGTGAGGCCAAGTCCCACCACGGAGGTCCATCAGGACACAGGGGAAACTCCACCTTTGACCTGAGAGATGGGGAAGAACCTGAAGCTCTTGGGTTCTGCAATACAAAAGAAGGTTTTCTAGAAAGTCTTGACTTTTCTGAAAACACCAGCCACGACTGCCCCAACACCAGATTCACTGAAAGCACCTTGACCTGAGAAGCCACATTTCAACACTATTTGTCCTTTGGCACGGGCTGGAAGCACATGTCACCCCTTCAAGACAAGAGGCACAGTATAGGTAAGGAGGTAAAAACTGTCAGGGCTTGGGGAAGAAGTAGGCACCCACTGCCCAAACAGCAAGGCCTGTCACCAGGAACTGTGCCAACCAATTCCTCTGGTTCTGCAAGCATGAACCCCATCATCCCCTTCTGCTTCTCCAGGCTCTGTCTGCGCTCACATCCCACCTCACTTCCAGCCACTGGCGAAGCCACACTCATGAAAACCTCCAGCACAGGCATTGAAATCTCCTGTCTGGATCAGGAAACTTCCTCTAGTCTCCACAACCAGAAAAATGCCTTCCTTTCATCTGTGCAGGTGTTTTGCATTAGCACAGAAGCACCACTGGCTGTTATCGACATCAGCACCTTCATCAGGAGATGCCCCGGTTGGCCCCATTTGCTGTGTTTGGGTTCAGCGCAGTGAGGAGTTTTTGTGCATTTTTATCAGGTGCTTTGCAAGGGAAACCAAGCGGAATGTTTCACCCTGGAGCGTGCCAGACGTTCCCTGAGCCTCGCTGCAGGCACAGGAGCCCAAAGCAGCGCCGGATCCCAGGGCAGAGCTCCCAAAGACAGCACCTGGGACCCAATCCCAGGTGTACAAAAGGGCCGCAAGACAAAACCTGGGTCCAAACAAAAGCTGAGCAGGAAATATATATGCTGGAGAAAGCAATGAGTAGGTTTTGGGTAGAAGAACACAACTACTCCTCAGCCATCTGCTAAAGCCTTGGGGTGTTCGGAGAGGGTGATCTGTACCTGCACATTTATTTCTGCTGTCACCAGGCCCCTGCCTCAACCAGGCCTTGTCTAGGGATGAGTGATCACCACCTCAAAAAAGGTGGGATTTGGGGGGAAAAAAACACACCTCAGTTAACCATCCTAACCCAGGTAAGCACCAGGGAGAGGCTTCAAGTCCCCACACACAAGTGTGTGCACAAAACAGATGGAAAGATCCCAGTGCTCAGCCCGAAGCATTTCTCCTGGCTTGTCTGCAATACAAAAGCCTGAGAAATGCCAGGGGCCTGCTCTGCCACCAGCTTAATTCCAAGAGCCTGGGTGTTTGTTTAGGTGTTGCATATCCCCCCCCCTTCCTCCTCCACCCTTTCCAGCATGCAGGCACCCAAAAGGAGATCGCCCACCGTGGCACAAGAATGTTGCACAAGCTGTGACTCTCCTCTGGTTATCCCTTATCTATCCCTGAGCCCTGATAAAAACCCACCTATGACCTCCTGCTCCTTTTTATTTATATTATTTTTTACCTTTGAAACCAGACTCGCTCAGCTCTCCAGATCCTAAAAGGGAGCTGCAAAAAGCCCAGTCCCACTCCTGCTAGAAATGCCACAACTTTGGCATTTTGCTTGGAAATGGGCGCACGCAAAAGCCAACAGCGTAAGCAAAACCAAACAGCGCCAGAGAAGTTTCTCCAGCCCTCTCCCAACCAAGTCTGCTATTCTTGGGCACCGTCAAACTGAAGGATTCTTCCCTCTCCCTCTCCTGACAATACGTTATTTGTACATGTTTACGCTGAGGATTAAATCCCCATCCGGGCTGGCGAGCGTGGTTCATTCACAGCTTCTGCTCCTCAGCGGTGCTTCCTCCGAGCTGCCTTTCCAGGGCTGTTTTGCAGCTCCCTGGACGGAGAAGGCGGCCCACGGCCAGAACCTGCGGGTACAATCCGGTACAGCAGCTGGCAAGCCTGGGAAATCACTTAGTTCATGACCGCAAGGACTTGGTTTCAGCCGGACAAACATTTTCTCCGCGTTGGCCAACGTGCGACTCTCTGCCCTCCTGCAAAGCGCAGGCTCACCCCTTATCTCTCCATCAGGGCTCACAGGGGCCGTTTTTCCTACCCCAGGGCACTGGATGAGGCCATGCAGACGCCCAACCAGGTAACTCCCTGCGAGCTCCCACTACGGGAAGGGGAACCCACAGAGGTTCACACCACCAGCCAGGACAGTGCCCAAACCCCAAGCGACTGCACGCACTGTACTCCCGGTGAAATACCCAATTTCTCCCTCAAAAACACTCAGTGGAGTTCCATTTCCCCGCCAGCAGGCTTGAATAACATTTTAAATGCCAAGATTTATATGCAGACACTTATAAATGTGTTCCATTATAGCCTCTGCAAAACTACATTTCAACCTAAACATTCAATTAATGTAATTAAATTGCTACCTGGCGGTATTATCTAATTTCACTTCGGATCTGTGCTATTGAAAAGCATGTGTCTTTTAGCACTCCGACTGGCAAGACATGTGATAAACAGACCTATAAACATGTTGGCTCAACCGAGCTGTTTAAAAATAAATTAGCAAACTATAAAAATAAACAGTAACATACATATGTACTCAATTATGAACTAACTCTAATTTTTGTTCTGAAATACTGTCTTTGACCTTAGTCATAAACAAGCACTATTAAAAAAACATAATATCTCAACAGACAGAAGGGCAGGGATTAAACGCTCGTCGCACGCGGCAGAATGCAAAATAAGGGATGAAAAGAAAGAAGAAAAGAAAGAAAAAGGGGGGTGGAAAAAGCTCACCCTTTATTAAATGCAGCAACCTGTACCCACCGCAAGCATTTATGCTGATTAAAGCTGTTTGGATTCAAGACGAAAAAGTTAAAACCTACAGAAGTGCCTATGGTTAAAAACTTTGTAAGGTTCAGGGGGAGGAAAATACCGTTTTAGCTTGAGTAGGAGGGAGGGCAGTGTGGGTCCCACAGAGCCACCCGTGGCCTTTGGCTGTCCAGGTGCAAACCCTGCTACTGTCTTGCATGAATTCAGCGAGCCAAGAGCATGTGGCAGAGAGGTAGGAACCACCACACCAGAGCAGAGGGGGAAAAACAAACAAACAAACAGATTTTTTTGAAGACCATGGAGCAGCGTCCAGACCATGTTTTTGCCATTAATTCAGCGCTCCCGCAAGAAAAGAACAAGGCACCATGCTACGACTGTCAGCACTGTTCTGTTTTCTCTGGGAAGAAAGGCAGGAAAGAAGGAAGGATGAAATGCTGATGCACAAAAGGCACATTTTGCACCCAGGGATATTTTCGAGGCTTTCAGGCTACACAGCGGGCACCAACGGTCCCTCCCTGTGCCCACATGTGCACCCATGCGTAAAACCTCACAAGAGACCCAAAATCAACAGCAAAAGCACTTAGGCAACTGCTAAGCTCAATCGTGGAGAATCAGCCTAAGACACCGCCTGCCGTCGGGCTGTCTCCCCAAAAACACTTATATAAATAAACAATAGGAGGCAACTCGTGTTCATCAACACATGGGCACAAAAAACAGGCAGTGAGAGGCGGGTGGAAGAAAGGCTTTGCCCCAGGCCAGCTCCTCGCCAGCAGGGAGTCACGTAGACTCAGCCCCGCAGTCAGTAACGAGGCAGGGTCTGACATTTCCACGAACAAGAAGGGCTGCCAGTTGCTGAGACACAAACAAAACATTCACAAGGCGTGTTCTTTCAAGGGATGCGACAGGAAGGGTCCACAGGAGACGGTGACAGCATGCACCATGCACCTTTTTTTTTTAATCTTTGTTTTCCCAAGGACCTCCTCAGCAGCAGAAGCAGGATGCCAGAGAACTCCACGCACTGGTGGAAACACCAACTGGATGGTAAAGGAGGGTGGAAGTAGACTGGCAGGGCTGTGCCAGGTCTCAGGAAGACCACACAGCTTAAGCAGTGTGGGAGTCACTTCCAGCCACCAGAGCTGGCACACGCTGCTGCTTGGTGGGGAGCAGCAATGGCCTCTCTCCACAGTCCTCAATGGTCAACAAATCCAAAAGGATTCCCCTTAATTTCTACTGCAAATATTTGCCTGTTCGTAAACCCCTTCGGTTTTTTCCTGTTTTTTCTTTTTTTTTGTTTTTATTCTACAAATAAATGTCTACCATTCCCTTAAGCAACTGCTGGGCGCTGGTGCTCGGGAAGAATCAGTCAAATATCAACCAGCAAAGCAGCACTGCAACCCAGAGCTGCTGTCAGTGTGGTGACTTTAAATCTCATACCACTGGACACACCAGCCCCTTCCTGGATGTTACAGTCATGTCTCAGTCCACACCACAGCTATCCCCTCACTCTTCTTTCAGACTTGGGTATCTCTCACACATTACAAGAGCAAAACAAGAATAATAACAGGCCCTGTCTGGATTATCCGCTTCCTTAAAGCCATGTCCCAAAGCACCTCCCCAGCCCAGAGTGTACCCTGACCAAGAAGAGACAACAATTAAAAACTGCAATTAAAGCAACATCCCAGTTTGAAAATGAATGCCATTTTCTGCCCATCCTCCCTGCTCTGTTACCAATAAAACACTTACAGACACTATTCATGCAGACATAAAGTGCTAATGGCTACCTGTTAACGTGTTTCATCATGCCAACATTTTTGCTCTGATTTTGACAGTTCCCTTTTTGTTATTTTAAGCTAAGGGAGCACTAATCTGGGTTGGAACTGAAGGCTGCAAGAATTACAATCTACAGCAACTGCACAACTAATGACACCATTTCCTTCCACTCTGCACCATTTCATGGACAGTTTTCTTGCAGCCAAGCTCCTTTCCAGACTATAAGAAGTTGGAAGTGCCAGAGCATAGAAGTAGGGTGGGAAGATTGTAAGATGTTGCTAAGAAGTCCCAGGAATTCTTGGCCCGGTCCTGTGTGTTTGGGGGTCGATGGGGGGGGAAGAGAGCAATGTGAACACCAAAATCAAACGTACTGGGAAAGTCACTTTGAATGGCTTAAGGAGAAAAAAAATTAAGTGGTCATTCTTATATGACTTCAGGGATGAGTCTTCAGGGCTAGAACAACTGCTGGTGCAAATTGGCCATGTGATTTACACCTCAAGGGCTGCCCTAGGTGTGACTACAGGCGGTTCACCAGCTCTTCTGGATGTGGAAAGAACAAAACTCCTTGGGTATCACCTCAGCAGTCGCTGACTCCAGCTGGACATTTGGACAGGTACCTGATGCCTGGTGTCCTCCACACTCAAAAATGTGCTGGGCTTGTCTCTGCGTGCCCCACATGAGCACACACTGAGAATACGCCCACTGACATCCATGGTGTTACAGCAGGTGAAAATCTGCTTGTGTGGAAGAAGAGCCTGGTCCTCTGTGATTACCAACAGCACGGGTCAGAGCCATGATCTGATTTTCCACGGAGCAGGAGAAGAGTAGAAGCTCTCTGGTCTCCAGAGCAGTTGCAGCCCTGCAGAGATACCCAGCGGCTTTGAGCATACACACAGGGACAATTCCTTTCCCCAGCTTTGCAACTGTTTGTTAGAGCAAATTAAGAGTGCTAACAAGTCTTACTGGAGCCCATTGCAAGGAGGTTAAGAAACGCGACTTATCTGATGCAATCAGCAATGTAATGCAACCTCCCAAGCCCCAGTTCAGGCAAAATATATGCAAGTAACCAAAAGGGATGAGCATAACCTTGAGGGAAGAGTTGGGGATGCTCCAATCCAACCTGCAATGCCAGAAAGACAAGAGAGCACAGCATGGAACAGAAAATTCCCCGCCTGCTTTGTGTCTTTTGCTGCTTCCAAGGACTCCCACTCTGTTCAGGCCAGAAAGAGGACACCGGTTTGGAAGGATCTCTAGTCTGACTCAACATGGGTAGTTTTTAATTTTTTATGAAAAAGACTGCTCTGCAGTACAAGGTGAGGAAGACCTTTATTTGTTGGGCTGAAAGGTAAACGTGGTTGAAAGGTAAACATTCACCTCCTGAGCCTTCTCATTTGATTGCAGCATCACAACAGGTCGAGGCTGCCTCATCTGCAGACCCCTTACGCTCCCGGGATCCTGACCATGATGCTCCCAGGATCCTGACCATGATGCTCCCAGGATCCTGACCATGATGCTCCCAGGATCCTGATCATGATAGGTGAGCGTGGGTTCCCATGGGAGTCGTTTGCCAGAGGGTGTTTACTTACAGTGAGTCCCGGTGTGGAGCACCAAGCCTTGCTGTGCCCACCTGGCAAGAGGGATGGGAGGACTGCATGCCCACATGGGGAGGTTTCCACCACAAACCCAGTCGGGAGGCTTGAAAGGCAGGAGAGCAGATAGTATTTTCGAGGGAGTATGAGATAAGAGGAGGTGGAGTTTCCCCGATAAAGAGGATTTCCCTGCTCAAATATCAAAGGATTCACACTAAGAAAAGGGGGGAGAAGGGGAATTACATCAGTCTGAGGCACACTTTCTCTTTTAAACTCTGACCTTCTATTGTCTGTCTTCTTGACTAGGATTTAAAAGCCCTTTGTTGGGCTGTGTTACATGGTGTGATCTAGAAAGCCGTCACAGCCGAGGCACCGTGGGCTTTCGGCTGCGCCGACGCTCGGGCTCCCCCCTTGCCTACACTGGACTTTGAGAAGGCGTTGAGCCAGCTCAGATAAGTCAGCACTTTCTATCAACACCCCTTCCAAGCCAAGCTGCACATTGCGACGCCTCTCCCAGCACGGGTTGGTGGAGCTGGGCTTCACCCTGGCACAGCTCCCAGACAAAAGGTGGGCTGCTCCACCATGCTGCTCCAGCATGCTGGCCCACTGTCCTCTCCTGGCAGCGTCCTTCCCATCCCAAACACAAACAAATGGGTGAGGAGCAGGTGACAGAAGCGTTACAGATGCCTAAAATGGTTTAGAGTGATCTACGAGCATCTTTTGGTTGTAATGCTCCATTAATGTGACATTTATGTGGGGTAATATAATACCGCTCACTTAGGAGCACCTACATCAGCCAGTCAGGTTTCCCTGTGCACAAAGGATGACATGGATAACTGGGAGGGTTCTTGCGTGGCCACAGACCCTACAGATGGAGTTACAGGGGACAGGAGGCACCACTGCTCAAAGGGGACATGCTGGGTCTCTCCCTGAGGGAGTGGAGAACGGAGCAATGTCTCAGGAGGCAGAACGAGAGAGCTGCAAACAGGGAAAAAAAAAAAACCCAGCTTGAACTTATGGAGCTGAACAGTCCCTCTCTGCAGAACAGGAAACACAGTACCCAAGGAAGGTCTGCCCCAGTCCAAAGGCACAGCCTTGCTGTCATCTCCACACAACCTGCAGCGTAGTTTGGGCATCCATCTGATTTCACAGCATGCAGTGTTACACTCTGTAGCTAAATCCACCTCTAATGTCACACAGGCCTTGTAAGGGCTCCTGTTTGGTTACCCTGATTTATAAACACCACTGCAGTGGGCTGGAGAAGGGATGGCCTCGCAACCGCAAGCCTTCGTTATCCCCCACAAATTACTTGTTTGCAGCTCTTGAACTGCCTAATTTATTTTGCCCCTATGTTTTGGCCATCCATCTAGTCTTTTCCTAATGGTGCTCCGAACGCTGACACTTTGGGAAACCTCTAAAATGCTGTAACCCTCACACGGCCCCGCCGAGGTGAAAGGACCAAGGGCAACCGCTGAATCTTCCCAGAACAACAGAGGGATCATCCATCTCCTCTTCCCTCCTCCCCGCCCACCACTCCACCCCAGGCACTGTTCCCATCTCAGTGTGCTTGAGCAAAGCACAAAACCAGGCGAGATGTGGGCACCTCAGCACCTCTGGATGTCGAAGGCCACAGACTGTACCCGGTGACCTGGAAGGTGTCCCCCCCCAGACATTTGCTCCTACAGCTCTGCCTCTAAGAAAAACCATCAGAGAAAAAAATCACAAGGCCGGCTGAGTTTGGGTTGTGGCAATGCCATTTGGAGAAGAAGTGGGAAAATCAATAGGTACAGTCTGCATTTCGGGCAATGGGGGAGGAATTTAAACCAAAATTGAGTCTGATCAAAAACTCAAGTCAACAGAAAGAATTTCACAGGTTTCATCATTTAAGTGCTCACTGAGTAGAAAATGAACAATCAGCACTTTGGAATAAATGCAACAAGTATCACAGGGTGTTGTCACCAGCCTTTTGTGGGACACCCACGAATCCAGAAGAGGCATCTAGTGTCACAGGGAAAATGCTGAGGACACAGAAAGTGTCACCGAAGGACAGGCAGAACAAACACAGAACAAACTCCTACCAACAGATTAAATTCATGTCACGGTATTTTACCCACATTTTGCACTAGTCAGATACCTTGAAATATGTGCACGCAACCAGAGCCACGACACCAGACCTTTAAAGACCTGAGAGCCGCAGATTAAAAACATGTTGGAACGCTTACCGTGTCCAGTGCCAAAAATGTGTCTCTAACCTGTAGGAAGAAATGGGTGTGGAGCCGCTCACAGAACGATCACTGCACTCACACAGCAGGGTACAATGTCCCCCTCTTTGTTTCTCCCTTGTGAGAAAAAACAGCTACTAAAATATGACCGAGGAGCTGCTTCAGCTCCCCCAAATTTTTTGAGAAGTACACAGATTCGGATGGGAAAACGAGGTGGGAATTAGAGCAATCCCACGTAATTCACAAAGACTGAAGCCACTTTGCCATGGACCAACACGAACCACTGATCTCAGTGCTCAGTTGGTGCTTGCTGCTTCTTTTTGGGGACTTCAGTCAGCTCCTGCGTGGCACTGAAGCGCTGCGAGTAGATACAAAAACGTACACAAAGCCTAAAAGTATTTCATTGGAATTGAAGCTCAATTTACAGCTCCCGAGACTCAAGGGTGTGTTTGAGCAGCTCTTTGTTGCAGGGTTTTGTCAAGGTATGTTCTGACTTGTCCCCTGCATGGTTGTGCAGTAATTCTTGATACTGATAGTCAATTACTTTGTTCACGTCACTCAGAGACTTTTTTTTTCCTTTCTTTCTCTCTGCATGGCTAATCCAGGAAAGACAACACAGAGCTAAACCACTGCTGCCAAAGGCATGAACTCCTGGCCAGTTGGGGTGGTGCTGCCCTCCAGCCCTGCCAGCACAGGTAGCAAAGTGACCTCTGGAGCAAAGAGCCCTCCTTATCTCTCTTAAAATACCAGTGGGCCCAGGCTCCGAAAAACTTCCTTCCCGACGGGATAAGCACTTACCCAGGTAATCTCATTACAGCCATTGTTCTCTGAAGGTTAATAAATACTTACCATGATGAGTAAAGGCTCCGCAATCTGACCCCAACAGCAGCAGAAGTGATTGCTTAGGGCCAAATTTTCATACTCTTATTATGCTGAACACCATATTCCTCTGCGAGCAGAGCAGCGTTAGCACCAAAATAAATGTGACTGCTTGCAAATAAGGTGTTGGCCCCACTTCTGGCCTCAAGTTTTTATGTTGCCATCACTGTGATAGCTCTGAAAATTAGCAGATGCTGCCAGTTCTTAATAAATACATGACTAAATTATTCTGAAACAACAGAAAAAAACAAATTATGGAAAGAATAAAATACAAGGAGACGCCTTTCTCTCCAATTTCAACGTGCGGAAGAAAATAATTACAGGTTTTTGTTAATTTAAGGAAACACTTTTTCTCCCATCAGACATGAGGTGTGAATTATGCAAAAAAGATTCGAACTTGACGGGGTTTACATACTGCAGCCCCAACAACTAATTTAAATTTGAGAGTTACAGAATGAAAAACCAGGTTTCCAAGAGCTTCTTAGAAAGAGCAGCAGCCACCACCTTCCACAAAGCCAGGCCAACACCCATCAAGGTGGAGAGCAGCACAATCAGCACTCTGTAAAATCCTCCTCCTAACTCCCAGACTCCCAAAATACAATGGACCAGGAAGGTTTTCCATAAAAACAACATACATTTCAAAGCAACAGCACCAGGGGTCAGTGGGGATGATTAAAACACGTTATCCACTTGTTGCAAAACATCTACTGGCAAAAGGTGCCCAGAAATCCATATGAAACCTCCATCTTGCCACAACACTAAACAAAACTCTAAATAAGATGAGCAGATAACTATTTTTCAATTGAGGCTGTCAAGCTGTTGCACAGTCATTAATAATTTAAACTTCACCCCCTTCATAGGAGCTCCATTTCCTAATTTGTGTAGGACATAAACCAGATTTTCCATTTGATTTCCCAACAGAAAATTCAGAGGGAAAAACTGCATGGAAGTAAAATAAAAGACGTTCAGATTTTGGTTCGGTGGCCAAAAGTTTTCTAATTTCTTTTTTTTTTTTTCTTTTTTGGACAAAGCTGTACCTAAACTCACCCAATCACACTTTCCAGCAAATATACTACCCGCCCAAAAAAGGTTCTCATTTTTCAGATGAACGCACCACCACGTGCTGAAATTGAGACAGAAACCTCCCCCTGCAACTAAACAAACACCACGCCAAGCTGAATTATTTGTGACTCTCCCCGAAGTCCCCCAGGGAATGAGGGGAAAGTGCCAGGACCAAAACTTGGCCGGACTCGCTGTTGTGTCCCTGCGGGCTGCTCGAGGAGGCCTCCAACTTGCCAAGAGTTGCGAGGGGCAATCAGCCTCCCACGCCGAGGCTGCGTCACCGCCCCGTCCCTTCTCCCACCACTGTCCCCACCTCATTGGGAAAGGTGGCAAATTTAATGTCATAACTAAAGTCTCATATCGACCAAACCCAAAAGCAAGGCTGGGCAGAGAAACCCGAGAGGTGTTTCTGCTTTGCCCTTGGCTCTGGAGCCTCCAAGCCCACACAGCACCTGTGCATGCTCCCCTTGAAATGCACCCTGCACCCAAAACCAAAGCTGCAGGGAACTCTCCCACGCCAGGAGGCAAATAAATGGGAAGAATGGTGATGAAGAGGGTGCAGGACCAAAAGGAAAGCAGGACAGCCTGCCAGAGCCACACACCAGTCAGTACCGAGTTATGCAGGAAAAATGGCATTTCTTATGCCAGTCATTGACCCCAGAGCCATAAGAAAAGACTCCAATAAATTCAAGAGACCCAGACATTACCTTTTGTAACATTTGCTAGTTCCACCCAAGCTGACTCAACATGTGTGGAGTGGCTACTCCTCCCAGCTTTGGGCCAGCCTTGCCCCCCTGCCCCACAAATCCCACTGCCTCAGGTTTTGGGGACAATGCCTCATTTTAGGAAGGCAAAGCACCGGCTGCCCCGGAACAGTGTCATCCCAGTGAAGAGAAAAATAATCTCTTGACATAAACATCCTTGCTGACTCCTGCCCTTCTCTTCTCGAGGAAGGTTATTGAGGAAGCAGTTTTGGATCAGGGCCAGCTGTGTCTTGATCTTGTGAGGTGTCTTTGATCCCTATCAATCTAACTTTAAAGACAGAGGTGATATTAGATCCGATGTCTAAGAATGACCTTCAAGCAGCAGTTGAAGACCTCGGGGAAAGGTCTTCAACCAGATTTTTCCACCCATAGCTGGCTCAGAAGAACTCTGTCTCCAACACCGACCTTGTTTTTGAACCCCTTTCCCCCCCATCTCCACTTGGGATGACCATCCCTCGTGCCACTCACCGGCAGCGACATGTGGCAATTAAGTCAGTTGCATCTCTGCCAAAATTCTGGGCCTGGCCTTGACCTGGTCTGCTTTCAGGGCAGAATAAACTTGTGGAGAACCATCTTGCAGGCCTGCTGCTTTTTAGCCAAACATGAGTAAGACAAAAACATGCCCAGCAGCAAAAAGAATGGATTGCACCAACAGACTCATCAATAAGTAAATAATATTTATCACGGGCTCTGCACTAGAGCGTTTGGACAGACACAAAGATAAGCACCAGTTTGGTGCCTGCGCTTGCCAGCTGGTCACATCCAAATGCTTTCCATCTCAACACACTTTGCCTGGTAGGGACATGGCCCCCCCACCGAGCTGGGGATGCAGGTGCCCACAACTCCAAGGGATGGTGCTTTAGGTACCTGCTACCCAAAGGATCGGCTGCACGTCGAGACCCTCCAAGCCCAAGGCGCGGGGCAACACCAGCCAGTGCCTCTCCACGTTCTCCAGTGCCAGATTACATTTCCACGGCAGCTGCTCCTTTTGTCTGCACCCCTGCAAAGCCAAACCGGCCTAAAAACTTAATTTAATCTGCCGTAAACCCAAGTGTCAAGCACTTAGATGGCAGCTAAAAGCGCCACTCTCAGATAACCGAGTGACACCGGCTAATAATAGCCTGCGCATTAGGGGAGAGGGAGCGGACATTTTGTGTAACCAAAGAGGAACCTGCGCCTGGGAACAGCCCGGGGTGCCCGGTCTCAGCCCCGCCAGCAGCAGACGCCGCCGTGCACCCGAGCCCACCCGGCCTCTCCCGTGATTAGCTGCACTAATACCACCAGTGACCTCTCTTTCAAGCTCAGAGGCTACAATAGTCCTGGCTTTTGTTAGCGGGGAGAACAAAATGCCACCTTTTACAGCTCTGCAATCATAGCTGCTTCCCTTTTCATCTCCCAGGGGCACAGCACCAGACCTTGCTCACTGGGGAGGCGGGTTAACCCTTGCCAGGCAGCCCGGCCACACGGAGGAGGGAGGGGTGGCAGGGTCTGCTTCTCCCACATCCCTTCATTTGCACGGAAAACACCAAAGAAGCCCTTTCTGGTGGAGGATGCATGTGTGCAAGAGGGCTCTTCTATGCCAGATGTTGTCGTAGGCAGTAAGCACCTGGTGGCCACTTCAAGCCATGGTGGTGCATCGATAGGTCACCAAAATCCATGCTGAGCTCTCCCACCTCACCCTGTCCTTGGGAACTGCCTTAAGGAGTAAAACACACCCACTGACCAGGCACTGGTTTAACTTAGGTGACCTTCTTTTGTCCAAATCTTAAGAGCAGTTTAGAAGCAAAGGAGACCATGTCTTCCAGAGCAGCACTTCCCAAAGCTGCCAGGGCTTAGCAACTCTCCCAGCAGAAACACCAAAGCCATGTCTCACAGAAGGGATGTGGCACAAGGTGCTGGTGCGTGTATTTGGGTTTGCATGCAAAGCTCTTCCCAAAAGAAGGGGATGGATGCTCAGAGGTGCTCGCTTCCCGCCGGAGCAACGCTTGCTCAGGACCTGGAAAGGACCAGCCCTCATCCACTTTGGGATTCCTGAGGGAGCAGGGCACCTCATCCACCCCCGCATGCCTCCCTCTCTCCTCCTTCCCAACAAGGGCTACAAGGAGCAGGGGGAGCTTTCTCCTGGGGCGTGCAAGGGTCTTGGATGCACAGCTGACTGCACGTGTCAGTTATGCTCCAAATGGGTTGTCACAGGTCAAGGTTCTGCAGGCAGCAAGAGCAAATGCTATTTTTAGACGGGATAAGGTCACGGTGCTTTTAGAGACAGTGAGGTCTACAATAAAACCTATTGATCAGTCTCTGGAACTAGCGCTCCGGAGAGACGCCTAAATTGAAACAAAAATTGCCTGGCCGTTTTCTCTATAGACTCGGTGGGTAAAAGCTTGTTGGACCCTTTCAGGAGATAAAATAAGTAAGGAGAACCCGCGTACAGACCACAGTTGTCCATTTAGGCGGATGCACAGAGGGGGGAAAAAAGGGAAAGTGAGACCTAGGGGAGAGACCAGTGAGAAGCTTCAAGGATACGTCTGTCGCGGTGACGAGTCAGACACCCCAAGGGTACAGGCCATCCTTGCCCATGCCCTGACTCCCACCTCTGCAGCCCATCTGCTCCAGGTGTAAAGGCACTACAGCAAACTCGATTTTTAAGAGAATTAATGTTTTACTTGAATCTTGGAGGGTAAGGGTGCCTCTGAAGACATTCAGCACTGGGGTCCCTGACAGCACACACACACACACACCATCCCTGGAAGTGTTCAAGGCCAGGCTGGATGGGGCTTTGAGCAACCTGGTCTAGTGGAAGATAATCCTGCCAAAGGCAGGGGACTGGAACCAGAGTTTTAAGGTCCCTTCCAACCTAAACCACTCTGTGAGTCTATGATTCTATTTGGCTGTTTGTGTTTTGGTGATGAAGACTACCCAGCTGACACTTGGAGGCCCAAGGATGAAAAACAGACCAACCCTTCAGCCACTGGGTGGTTCACTTGCAATTGGTTTTCACAGCAAATTCCAAGTGTTTATTCAGGTCACATAAGAGCTTTAACCAAAAATACCAAAGCACTGGACTATCACACTTTCAAGCTCAGTCACAGACCTAAAGTTCTAAGTCCACTCCATCACAAGAAGCTCTTGATTGTGTTGGAGACCACAGGGACAAGTGTGAAACAGTGGAGTATCTTCACCCATCATCTGCCCCACTCCCACAGCCTGGCTCACAAACAAAACATGCCACAGTAAACACAATCCATACATCACACCCTGACACCAGTGACCCCATTAGCGAGCCCAGCCTGTCCCAGGCGGAGCACCCCCCCCAGACATCAGC